AGAGTGGTCTCCTTCAGGACAAGGCAATCAAAGCATTTATACAGGTTTTAGCGGAATAACAGAATAACAGAGTTGAACAGGACCTTGGAGGTTTCTGGCTAAGAAATGGAGATAAGCATTGCCCCCTAGAGTTGGACACTACTGGACAGGGGAAACCTTTACCTTCACATTTACTAAGGATGTAGTAGCCTAGCCTAGATAGCCTTTAGATCAGTGGTTCTCAACCTTTTTAATGCCGTGACCCCCAACTGGTCGTAAGTTGAGGACTACTCAACCGGTCGTAAGTCAAGGACTACTCAACTGGTGCAGCACCGTTTGCAGAATGGGACTTTTGGCGGGCTCAGCAGGGCAGAGACAGCCTGGACAATTCCTATTGGCTTTTGAAAGCCAATAGAATTAGACTCTATTCAAGAGAGTCTATTCTATTGGCTTTCAAAAGCCAATAGAATAAAAGGGAGTAGCACAGCTAAGGAAAAGGGGGAAAAAATGGCGGACTGCATTGTTTGGCGACCCCCGTGAAATGGTCGTTCGACCCCAAATGGGGTCCCGACCCACAGGTTGAGAACCACTGCTTTAGATCTTGGAATCCAACAATGCAACTGCCTGGTCACTATGAATGGACTATGGTGCAATCCAATTCAATGGCATTGGGTTTACTGTTCCTAAAGTCCAAAGGTCAAAATGGTTTGGAATTCTTGGAGGTCAATCAATCAGAATAGAGCTGGAAGGGACCCTGGAGGTCTTGTAGTCCAGCCCCCTGCTCAAGCAGGAGACCCTGTACCATCTTGGACAAGTGGCTGTTCAATCTCTTCTTAAAAACCTCAAGTGATAAAGCACCCACAACATCTGAAGGCAGACTGTTCCACTGGTTAATTGTCCTCACTTTTGGAAGTTTCTCCTTAATTCCAGGTTGCTTCTCTCCTTGATTAATTCCCATCGTTTCTTGTCTTGCTTTCTGTTGCTTTGGAGAATAAGTTGACCCCCTCTTCTTTGTGGCAGCCCCTCAAATACTGGAATACTGCTATCATGTCACCCCTAGTCTTTTTTTTCTCTAGACTGGCCATACCCAATTCCTGCAACCGTTCTTCATATGTTTTTGCCTCCAGGCCTTTAATTATCTTAGTTGCTCTTCTTTGTACTTTTCCCCCCAAAGTCTCAACATCTTTTTTGTAATGTGGTGACCAAAACTGGATGCATAATTCTAGTTGTGGTCTTACTAAGGATTTATAAAGGTTCATGATGTCACCTCGATGAATACATTTAAAAACCACATAAGCCATTTAATGGTGGTGCGCTGTGAGCCATATCCAAACAGAAAGGTTGCTTCTATTAAGATAAGCCAAAATTTTATATTACGGTACCAATTTTGAATCTGTACAGGTAGCCCTCAACTTACAATCACAATTTAGCCCAAAGTGAATTTTGTCCAATTTTATGACAATTTGTTGCCACATTTGTTAAGTGAATCACTGGCTTCATGGAGTTTTCTTGTTGGAAGCCAACTGGGAAGGTTACAAACAGTGATCACAAGAGTGCAGCTGTCATAAATGCATAAATACCAGTTGCCACGCATCGAAATTTTGTTGATGTGACCATGGATATGCTGCACTGGTCGTAAGTGTGAAAAACTGGTCATAAGTCACTTTTTTCAGGGCTGCTGTAACTTTGAACCATCAGTAAACAAATGGCTGTAAGTCTAAATTGACTGGAATTTGCCTCTGGCATTTTCATCCAAGTGCTGTTTTGGCATTTCATGATTTTTTTTTTTTTACTCAGCCTATTTGGAGCTTATTTTTTTTTAACCCTTTGCCTCAGCTCCCTTCACATGTTCTCTATGAAGATCCTCACAATAATTCTGTAATATAGAACATTATGATTAATCTTACATTACCTGCATCCATCAGAATGACTTGATTAAAATTGGTATGAGGACGGAAGGGGTGAAATTCAATCAAAGGACTGTTCCGTAGCTCTATTTCTTAACCACAAGACTGCACCAGCTATCAAATGCACCAGCTGTCATCTACTTTCAAATAGCATTATTTTTCATGCCAGCCAGCGTAGAGGAGCAAAATTTAAATTGCTGTGGCAAACCAACTTTCCGATCAATTATTAAAATAAGACATCAAAGAAGATATTTATTGCATTTCTTCCTTAGTCGAGCAGCATTTGAGGTGAACTTTGGATTATATCCTACTTTTCAGTTTATTGACACCAATACATTTATATTAAGTAAAAAACTAGCAAGAACTACATTAAGAAAGTTCTAGATAGCTCCCTTGTCCTTAGCCACGTTGCAGGTTGGTTTATGGTCACCACTGAGCCCAAATTTTGCTTTGCTAAGTCAGAGAATTGTGAAGTGAGATTTGCCCCATTTATGACCTTGCTTGCCACAGCTCTTAAGCGACTCACTGCAGTTGTTCAGTTAGTAACATGGTTGTTAAATGAATCCCATTGACTTTGTAAAAGGGGATCACGTGACACCAAGACACGGTAACCAATCATAAATAGGAGTCAGTCTGAATTTTGATCACAGGACCGTGGGGAGGCTGCAACGGTCGTAAATGTGAAAAACAATCATCCGCCACTTTTTTTTCAGTGTCATTGTAACTTTGAAAGGTCACTAAATGAACTGTTGTAAGTTGAACTACTTGTATTTGGATATCTAGCTCAGTTTTGTCAGCAAGAAAACTAAAGTGTTCAGGCCCCAAAGTTTATGTGTAGAAGTGAGATATCAGAAAGAAGCTATCTGTTGTCACTGTGCTAAAAACGGAAGATCCTAACCATAAACTCAGTTTGACAATGGAACCGATGTCCCAAGAGGTGATGGGAACACATCTTAATAATAATAATAATAAAGTTGGAAGGGGCCTTGGAGGTCATCTAGTCCAACCCCCTGCTCAGGCAGGAAACCCAATACCATTTCAGACAAATGGCTGTCCAGTCTCTTCTTAAAAACTTCCAGTGTTGGAGCATTCACTGCTTCTGGAGGCAGGTCGTTCCACCGGTTAATTGTTCTAACTATCAGGAAGTTTCTCCTTAGTTCTAGGTTGCTTTTCTCCTTTATTAGTTTCCATCTGTTGCTTCTTGTCCTGCCTTCAGGGGCTTTGGGGAATAGCTTGACTCCCTCTTCTTCGGGGCAGCCCCTGAGAAGCACAACTTGCCTCAAATGTTTTGGTATGTACACTGTATGTACGTATCTTATATGTATGTATAGATGTGTGTATGAAGGTACATTTCTTGTATGTATATACAAGATGTGTACATATACTGTGTGTACATATCTTATATCGGTGGTGGCGAACCTATGGCACGGGTGCCCGAGGCGGCACTCAGACCCCTCTCTGTGGGCACGCGTGCCGTCGCCCCAGTCCTAGGCCTTCAGCTGGGTTTTATAAAACCTTTTCTCTTTAGGCCTCCGGCGCCGTGTACCAAAAAAAAAAAAAGTTTCCATCAATCAGTCAATTTCAACTTCTCATGGGAAAAAAAAAATCTTGCAAAGTTGGAATTGATTGATAGAACTTTTTAGTCCCATCCAGTCTGCTGTTACCACTGCAGCCACGCCCACCCAATGGGCCACACCCACCCAATGGGCCACACCCACCCGGCACCCAACGATGCATAAGTGGGTTTTGTGTTGCAGTTTGGGCACTCGGTCTCTAAAAGGTTCACCATCACTGCCTTATATGTGCAATGAGAGCTTATGCAAAGAGCTTTCTTTATTTTTTTTTCCTTGAAGGCATTTCACTTCTCATCCAAGAAGCTTCTTCAGCTCTGACTGTCAGTTTTTTGTCTTCAAGTTAAAAAACAAAGACAGTGCATTTGCCTTTTCAAAAAGCACCTTTGGGACAAGCAACTTACAATCTTCTGTCACAGTGCTAACAATAGCCTATAGAAGCCATACAGTAGGAGACAGTGGTCAGTTCTTCCTTGGAGGACTTCAGGTGAAGCTGGATGATCCTCTGTCAGAGATGTTCTCCTGCACCGAGCAAGGGGTTGGACTAAGTAACACCTGCCATCATTTCCACCTCCATGGTTCCATACATAACATTGAAATAAAGCAGGGTGCTATACTTTATATCAAGGCTTTTCAACCTTTTCACCCATTATGCCACTTTTAGCATATGGCAATATCCGAGTACCACCAGTCGCCTAGCAAGGTGTCAAAAACTTGATGACCAAAACAAAAAAGGAAAAAAGTGATAAAGTACAGGTAGTCCTCGACTTACAACAGTTCGCTTAGTGACTGTTCAAAGTTACAATGGCACTGAAAAAAGTGCCCCCCAAGCCACCACCGAGCAAGACACCTGCCTGCTCACCCAGTGGCGCTCTTCCTCCTGTCCAAGGTTTTCATTGTTGTGAGCATTTCTGTTGAGGATTGGCAGTGGGGGTGGGGTGGGGGGTGTTCCCCCTGTCTTCTGGGTAGTTGCAGCAGGTTTTGGTCACTTCACATGACCCTGGGACACTGTGACCGTCATAAATATGAATCAGTGGCCAAGCATCTGAATGTAAATCACAAGACCCTGGAGATGCTGCAACATTCCAGCTGATCGGCACTTCTTCTGGGCTCAGCGGAAGCGCCAGGATCAGTGCTGCTTTCCAGCTGATCGGCGCTTCTTCTGGGCTCAGCGGAAGCACCAGGATCAGTGCTGCTTTCCAGCTAATTGGTGCTTCTTCTGGGCTCACAGAAGCGCCAGGATCAGTGCTGCTTTCCAGCTGGAGCCTGTCGCTGATCCTGTCGCTTCCGCTGAGCCCTGACAGCCCTGCAGCTCCAGCCATCTCTCGCTCAGGCTTGTGTGGTGCTGCCACCGGTTCAGCTCATTCCCCTCCCGCACTACCCCTTTTCTAGGATAGTCGCCTACCACCTGCCAGGTGCCAATGTACCACAGGTGGTACCCGTACCACGGGTTGAAAAGCCCTGGCTTTATATAATCCCGTGATGACCTTATGATCTTCACCATGAGATATTTCACAGAAGGATCTCTATGTTGCTTCCACAGTGAGGTGTTACCGTTTGGACTTCCAACTGAATATACCATTGCTTTCCTACTCCGCCTCCTGCCAGAAAGTCCCCGGGAGGCCTTTTCTATCTGGCAGATCACAGATGAGGACTTCCAGCCACTTCTCAGCATCATTCTTGATCGTAAGTAGAGATGTAACCTCCGGGGAGAGTATTCTGTAGCTCCTACGTGGGAAGCCCTTAAGGCAGTGATGGCGAACCTTTTAGAGACCGAGTGCCCAAACTGCAACCCAAAACCCACTTATGTATCGCCAGGTGCCAGGTGGGCGTGGCCCATGGGGTGGGCGTGGTTGTGGTGGTCATGGCAGACTGGGTGGGTGTGGCCAAAGTAGGCGTGATCACCTTGATGCTGCCCGTGGGGAGGGACGCCTGTGGGGCTGGACAGGGTTGTGGGAGATCCAGGGGGTCTCTGGCAGATGGGTGGTGGGGTGAGGGGTGAGGCAAGGCAAGGCAGGGCGGGGGTGCTATTGATGCAAGGCAAGGCAGGGGCCAGGACGGCTGCTGCCTGACACTATTGGCCCCCGCACACAGAGGCCAGCGAGCGCATGGGGGCTGACAGTGTCCGTCAGCAGCCACAGCCTGCTGGCCCCTTGACTGGCGCACTCTGGGGCTCCGCAGCGCGCCACCAGCAGTTCAGAGAAGCTGCCTATGAGCTGGATGCCAGCCGACAGCTGAGGAGGTGATGCAGTGGGTCGTGCCAAGGAAAAGGAGAGCATGCGAGGCCAGGAGGGATGGGATGTGGGGGGGAGGGAAACCAGCCATGCTGGGATGCATCCAGCCACATGGGACCTCGGTGAGTTACCCGTTGGCTGGTTGAAGAGGGACGGTTGTGTTGTGGTTCCAGCTAATGAAACATTCCAAAGAACTTCCAGGCATTTATTTTCCTAAAAGTCTTTTATTGTTACAAAATGTCGGCACAGGCACAACAGAGGGATGCTAGGATCTAAGTTCTCTTCCTTTGAGCAGTTAAATTATCAGCATGTTCCCTCCCTAAATTAGCCGTCATATCTCACATTATCCAATTAGTATGAAGGTCAAATGTTTTCTTCCTCTTTCTTTCCCGGGCTTTACCCCCAACCCCCCTTCTGCTCTATATTAACCCCATAATTACCAAACAATTCTACATATTGTCAAAAGCAAGAATATACAATATTTGCAGCGTTGACAGGTTGCCATCTTTGGGGCATGGCACGTATGCCCACAGAGAGGGCTCTGAGTGCCGCCTCTGGCACATGTGCCATAGGTTCGCCACCACTGCCTTAAGGCCTCCCAGCTATGGAATGTCTTCTCCAAAATTATCACTATGATGCCTGGTTTGATGATGACAGTTGGTTTGGTTCTCCTTAATTCTTTTTAACGTTGCTGGTTGAAAGACCTGGTTTTGTGTGGTATTTTAATTGGGTTTTATTCTTAGCTTGTTGTTGTTGTTTTATACTCCATCAGCAGTTCTCCAGTGTCTCAGTTTGAGAAGTTCTTCAGAACTTTACCTGGGGAAGATTTTTCTGTCAATGCCTCTCTGAAGGCTGGAGTTAGAGTCATCTGCATCCAAAGCCCTCTGCCATTAAGCTGCGGCTGATGATAAACATTATATAATATTATATAATAGCAGTGTTCCAGTATCTGAGGGGATGCCACAAGGTAGAGGGGGCCAGGTTGCTCACCAAAGCACCAGAGGGAAGGATGAGAAACAATGGTTTGTCACCTCACGTTTGGACTACTGCAACACGCTCTACATGGGGCTACCCTTGAAAAGTATTCGGAGACTACAGTTGGTCCAGAATGCAGCCGCGCGAGTGATAGTGGGTGCTCCTCGATACACCCACGTTATACCTATCCTCCGTGAGCTGCACTGGTTGCCTATTGGTCTCCGGGTCCAATTCAAGGTGTTGGTCATTACCTTTAAAGCCCTATATGGCTCAGGGCCAGGCTATTTGCGAGACCGCCTACTACCTCATAGTTCCCTACGTCCGGTTAGATCCCACAGGCTGGGCCTCCTTCAGGCCCCGTCGGCCAAGCAGTGCCATTTGGCGGGGCTGCGGAGGAGGGCCTTCTCTGTGATGGCGCCCACGCTTTGGAATCAGCTCCCCCCGGAGATTAGGACTGCTCCCACCCTGTTGGTCTTCTGTAAGCTACTTAAGACCTGGCTTTTCCGGCAGGCCTGGGGTTTATAAAACCTTACCCCTGGATGATTGTTTTTGTATTGTTGTTTTGTTATGTTTTATGTGTTTTTTATTGTTAGCCGCCCAGAGTCCTTCGGGAGTGGGGCGGCTTATAAATTTTAAAAATAAAATAAAAATAAACTGACCAAAGAGAGAAGCAACCTGGAATTAATGAGAAACTTCCTGACAGTGAGGACAATTAACCAGTGGAACAGCTTGCCTCCAAAAATCGTGGGCACTCCTTCACTGGAGATTTTCAAGAAGAAACTAGACAGTCATCTGTCTGAGATGGTATAGGTTCTTCTGATTGAGTAGAGGGCTGGACTCGAAGACCTCCAAGGTCCCTTCCAGCTCTATTCTATTCTATTCTATTCTATTCTATTCTATTCTATTCTATTCTATTCTCCTGACCTTGAAGCATTTATTTCTGCCTTCACTTGGGACTAAAGTCCTCAGTGAAATCTGACACATCAAAGCCCCATTGAAAGGCACATTGATCTGTGATGGCTTGTATAAATTCCTTTTTCATGCTTTGCTGACTATCATGTGTCCACTCATTGCAACACGGGTTCTATGAAACTAAATGCCAATGGCATATGTCAGATGCAAAAGACCAGGTCCACTCATGAGGGTCCAATTAAACTGATTTATTGCTACTCGTACCTGTGCACAGGAATCTTCTCAACCAAGAGTTAGCATCTGTTTGGAGTTAGATCAGGGTCAATGGAATTCAAAGGAGGTTGGGTTTAGTTTGCCTGTCGCTATGTAGGGATTCTAGGCTGATTCCGCTTTTAACTCCACCCCAGGTTCTGCCACTCTTTCTACATCCCAACTAAATCCATTTCCATTTGGCAATCATATTCCTATCTGGAGCTGCCAAACCAGAAGATTCAGAATGGATGATGTATAGTAAATACGTGTAACATGTTCACACATGCAAATATGATTCCTATGGACCACTATGGTCTATGTTGTGCTCAATGGGATTTTCCGTTTCTCACAGTTATGTTTGGCTTTCTTTCTTTCTTTCTTTCTTTCTTTCTTTCTTTCTTTCTTTCTTTCTTTCTTTCTTTCTTTCTTTCTTTCTTTCTTTCTTCTATCAACGCTGAATCGTAGATTGGATTTCAGCTCCTGTCATCCACCAATATGGCCATAGCAAAAGATGATTGTGTTGTAAAACGTCTGCAAAGCATTCCTTTGTTCTTGCTTTACATCCTGTTGTTCGTGCTTATAATGATAATTAGGTCAACCTGGTATCTGCAGATATTGCTGGACTTCAAATCTCTCCATCTCATACAGGTGGTCCTTGACTTACAACAGTTCATTTAGTGACCATTCAGTACAATGGCACTGGAAAAAGTGATTTATGACTATTTTTCACACTGAAGACTATTGCAGCAGCCCCATGGTCACAGGATTAAAATTCAGACACTTGCCAACTTGTGTGTATTTATCACAGTTGCAGTGTCCCGGGGTCATGTCATCACCTTTTGCAACCTTCTTAAAAGGTCAAAATCAATGGGGAAGCCATTTTACTAACTTAAGAACTGCGATGATCCACTTAACAACTGTGGCAAGAAGGGTCATAAAATGAGGCAAAATTCACTTAACAGCTGTCTCACCCAGCAACAGAAATGTTGGACTCAATTACAGTCGTAAGTCGAGGACTACCTGTATTAGGTCGAGGAAAGATGCTATAGAGCAGTGGTTCTCAACCTGTGGGTCAGGACCCCATTTGGGGTCGAACGACCATTTCACGGGGGTCGCCAAACAACGCAGTCCACCATTTTTTTCCCCTTTTCCTTAGCTGTGCTACTCCCTTTTATTCTATTGGCTTTCAAAAGCCAATAGGAATTGTCCAGGCTGTCTCTGCCCTGCTGAGCCCGCCAAAAGTCCCATTCTGCAAACGGTGCTGCACCAGTTGAGTAGTCCTCGACTTACGACCGGTTGAGTAGTCCTTGACTTACGACCTGTTCGGGGTCGCGGCATTAAAAAGGTTGAGAACCACTGCTATAGAGAATTTTGTAAAACTTTTCAATTTATTTATCTTCTTTTTTCCCCTCTGTAGCTCTTAAGAAATCCTTGGTGTATTTCCATCGGGACCATGAAGCCGATATAGAAGAGGTCACTTTTGATCATCAGGAAGTGAAGAAGATCTTCTACGGAAGCTTTCATAAGGTCCTTCTCCAAAAAAAGAGATATTCACAAGCACAGAATTCCCCCCCCCCAAAAAAAAATTCTACTGCCTCCTCCTCACTTTGATTTTTCAAAATAACAATTTTAAAAATCTGCTTAGGACATGTGCTTGCATGTTGATGTGTGCCTATGTTGAAATTTGGGGATGCATGCCAACATCCTAACGAAGGACTAAATTCCTTCCTGTTCTCGATGCGCTAATCTACATAAATTTATGCATGCAAGTATCCAAGAATGTGTGTGGAAGGATAAAGGAAATGAGCAAAGCGAAAGAATCTTACGACTGGAAACATTAGAAGAGATTTGAAAGTTAAACTGATGCCATTAGTGGGACACCTCAAACTTAGTTTGCTCTTTACAGGTCTTCCTCAACTTATGACGGCAATGGAGCCCGAAATTTCTGTTGCAAAGTGAGAAGGTTGTTAAATGAATTTTGCCTCATTTTACAACCTTTTGTACCACAGTTGTGAAGGGAATCATTGGAAAAATTCACCGTTAAGTGAATTTGGCTTCCTCGTTGACTTTGTTGGCCACAGGACTCTGGGATGCTGCAATGGTCATAAATACGAGTCAGTTGCCAAGTGTGTAAATTTTGATCACATGACTGTGGGGATGCTGCAAGGGTTTGTGAAAAATGGCCATAAGTCACTTTTTTTAGTGCTGTGGTCACTTTGAACAGTCACTAAATGAATGGTTGTAAGTTGAGGACTACCTGCATTTATTTTATTTATTTATTCAAGTTCTATAGCCCCTCTCCCCCCCCCACCCCAACTCAACCAAGTGATTCTGGTCTTTCAACTTTAATGATCTTGGCTCCAAGTACCAAAACTTTTGAAAAGTCTCAGATTTATTTTTATAGCCCCGGAATGGAAGGTGTTTTTTTTTTTTACAGCTCTTCTACTAAAGACTCTTAAGTGCATCACTTAAGTGCAATTTTTGCCATGTGTTTAAGCATGCCTCATGCAACTCAACCTGCATGTTTCCTCTTCGTTTACAGAACTTTAGATTCTTGGCTTGGCATAGTCTTTTTTTGGGAAGCCTCCATTGTGCAAGTAACATAACCAAAGATAGGATGTTGGTTTGGTTTCGTGTATCTGAAACTGGTCCAGTGGTTCCAATTGCCAGAACCAAATCCTGTCAGTACATCAAGAGGAGGGGGCCTGGTGACAGTACCCACTTTGAGAGGTACATGGGACAGGAACCAGAAAAGACACTTTGTCAGTGATAGCTCCAGTCCAGAGCTGCAGGACCCACAGCCCTTGTGACCGTGCTAAGTTGAATCAACAATATGGTTCTAGAAAGTAGCATAGAAAGTTTACTTATTGTGTTGTTTTAATTTCATTTGTTTTGTTTTATTTTAATTTTGTTTTATTTTATTTTTATTTTGTTCTATTTTACTATTTTTTGTTATTTTGTTTTGTATTTTTTGTTTTTTTCTTTTTTGTTCTTTCGGGTTTTTTTGTTTTTCTTTCTTTTTGTTGTTTTTGTTTTTTTCCAGTTTTTTGTTTTTTCTTTGTTTTTGTTTTGTTTTGTTTTTTGTTTTGTTTTTGTTTTTTCTTTTGTTTTTCTTTTATTTATTTTTAGTGGCTTATTGTTCGCCACCCAGAGATTGTCACGATTGGCTCTGTTCTATTCTATTGTATTCTATTGTATTCTATTGTATTCTACTCTACTCTACTCTACTCTACTCTACTCTACTCTACTCTACTCTACTCTACTCCACTCCACTCCACTCCATTCCATTCTATATTCTATTCCATTCCATTCCATTCCATTTTCCATTCCATTTTCCATTCTATTCTATTCTATTCTATTCTATTCTATTCTATTCTATTCTATTCTATTCTATTCTATTCTATTCTATTCCATTCCATTCCAATCCATTCCATTCCATTCTATTCTATTCTATTCTATTCTATTCTATTCTATTCTATTCTATGAGGTGCTATAACTTGTCAGAAACTTTTTACCTGTAATCAGGATGCTACAACTCTCTTGTGGCTGCAATTCTTTCCAGAATGCAGGGGGCATAATTCAGGGAGGTTCAGAGGTTTCCAGGTTGTGTTGCATTGTGTTGCACATTCTGCAATCAAGAACAAGACTCAATATAACTGTTTCTGTCTGCTGGGCAGGTCCATGTATCGGTGAGCCATGGCTGGGTCCGCCTCTATGTTGACTGCAAGAAAATAGGAGAAAAGATTCTTGGGAAATCAGAGACCCTTTCGACAGCAGGCTTTATCACTCTGGGGAAGCTGACAAGGACACGAGGACCACGGAGTGGATCAGCGATGGTAAGCTTCTTGATCTCCAGCTTGTCCACAGCCTTTCCCTGATCCCGAAAGGTAAGGCGCTATAAGGTCCCACCTCAGCTATTCCCTCACAAAAGTCAAATTCTTGAAACAAGCATTCTTTCAAAAGGATCTTTTATTGAGCAAAAATGATTGCAGGCTCTAAAATTCCCACGTGAAAACATTAGGCCAGTGGTGGCGAACCTTTGGCACGCGTGCCAGAGGCGGCACTCAGAGCCCTCTCTGTGCGCCATGCCCCAGAGATAGCAACCACCCCTCTTCAACCAGCTGTCCACTAACTCGCCGAGGTCCCACATGGCTGGATGCATCCCAGCACCTGTGCTCTTGCTGGCTCTGTGTGCAGGGGCCAATGGTGTCAGGCAGCAGCCACCCTGGCCCCTGCCTCACTTTGCACCTTGCACCTGGCCCCTGCCTTACCTGTGACAATGGCACCCCCGCCCTGCCTCACCTTGCCTCACCTCACCCAGCAGGATGAGCTTCCTACCCTAGGCCCCATCTGCCAGAGACCCCTTGGATTTCCCCCAACCCTGCCTGGACCCCCAGGCGTCCCTCCCCACGAGCAACATCGAGGTGATCACACCCACCTTGGCCACACCCACCCAATCTCCATGACCACCACAGCCACTCCCACCCAGTGGGCCACACCCACCTGGCACCCGGCGATAAATAAGTGGGTTTTGGGTTGCAGTTTTGGCACTCGGTCTCTAAAAGGTTCGCCATCACCGCATTAGGCTAAACCCCACTGTTCAAACCCCTCCCAACCGCTCAGTCCGTGGAGAGCCAATCCAAAGGTGTGAAGGTGTTGTGGGAACTCCGAGCCAAGAAGGTGATAACAAGTTGTTCTCAGGGGCCGCAACCTTGGTACAGGCAGAGTTCTCCAGAGATGAGGCAAACCAGATGGCCCCAGGGCTCATCCCTCCTCCCCAATTCACAGGAAGATACATCAAAGTAAAAGAGAAACAAAGCAAAACGGATGCATCAGAGAAAAGCTCCAAGGCCCCCCACCCCACCAGAATGGCGGTGAACCGATAGGGATCTATGAGGTCTTGACAGCAACCTTAAGGAAACATAGTGAAGATGTAGAAGACACTGTAAAAGAGAGAGAAGCTGGTCCAAGCAAAACAAATCATATCTATTATCTAAACGTAAAGTCCTGCAAGGGGATGCAATGGCTCAGCGGTTAAAGATGCTAAGCTTCTCGACAGCCTGGGTTCGAGACCCAAGCACTGCATTATGGGTGAGCTCCTGTTACTTGCCCCAGCTCCTGCCCACCTAGCAATTTGAAAGCATGCAAATGTGAGTAGATAAATAGGTACCACTTTGGTGGGAAAGTAACAGCGTCCCATGCACTTTGGTGTATAGCCATGCTGGCTACATGACCACGGAAGTGTCCAATCTGGGTCGGTCACCAGGATGAGAGGTTCAGTCTTCCGAGCTTTTGGACTTGTGCTGGAGCCCATCTTCAGGGAACTTCTCTCTCTAGCAGAGGGTGTGCTGTTCTGTGTGTGGTATTTATAGTGCCTGTTGTAAGTGGCTCTTTAGATGTTGATTGGGGAGTGTTGATAGCTGGCTTTTAAGTCATTAGCTGTCATTTGCTTGTGCTGCCCAGCCTTCACTTTCTAAGTACTTGATAGGCTGGTGGTACATCAGCACTCCTGTTGACGGGCCTATTTCCCAGGCTTCAATCACTTCCCTGGCTGTTTTTGAGCCTGCTCGTCCAACAATCTTAGTAGCTGCAAAGTTGAATGTGTGCCTTTGTTCATTGCAGTGTGAGGCTATGTTGCCTTCGGACAACGTTGGCTCCCTCTGCTAAAATTTAAGATAAGCATTGCCCCCTAGAGTCAGATATGACTGGACAGGGGAAACTTTTACTTTAAGGTTGGGCACTTAGGCAGGAAAAGACAGAAGCACAGGTACAGGATAAGCAGTACCTGGCTCAACAATGGTGTCTGTGAGAGGGATTCAGGTGTCCTGGTGGACCGCTGCTTAAGTGTGAGTCAGCAGTGTACTGCAGCTACTGAAAAAGCCAACGCAGCCCTAGGTTGCATCAGCAGAGGGATTGCATCAAGATCATGAGAAGTGATAATACCACTTTATACTGCACGTGTAAGGCCACACTTGAAATACTGCATCTAATCTTGGTCACTACAATACAGAAAAGATGCTGAGACCCTAGAAAGAGTGCAGAGAAGTGCAACAGAGGTAATAAGGAATCTGGAAGCTAAATCTTATGAAGAACAGCTGAAGGAACTAGTCATGTTTAGCCTAACAAAGAGAAGGCTTGGGGGAGACATGATAGCGGTCTTCCAAAACTTGAAGGGCTGCCACAGGGAAAAGGAAATCTATTTAAACCCCCAACCCCATAACACCCAAGAGCAGGACAAGAAGCAATGGATGGAAGCTCATCAGAGGAAGTTTCAACCTGGAAATAAGGAGAAATGTATGGATAGTGGGAATCATTGATTAATGGAATAACGTGCCTCCTAGAGTTGTGGGTGCTCCATTGCTGGAAGTTTTCAAGAAAAGATTGACAACCATTTGTCTGGGATGGTATAAGGACTCCTGTCTTGGGCAGAGGTTGGGTTAGAAGACCTTCATGGTCCCTTCCATCCTATGAGTTTAATTGCTAATTAGGTTGAATTGCTAAGATGCTTGCTAACCTCTGTTGCTGCTTAACTTGCCATAGAAATAGGGGAGAGGGAGAGTATGGGAAAGAAACAGGAGTTTCAAGAAGCTGTCCATGGACCGTGAGACCCACAGTCATCCAAAGCAGGTGTCTAGCGGAGAAGTGGACTGTCCTCATAACAAACAGAAAGAATGTGATTGGGCAACATAAACACAGGATGGGCGGGGTTTATTAAAAGCTATTGTTAACTAACCAGATTTTCACGCGGGAAAATTAGAGTTGATTTTACTTCTTCAGTGTCGGCTTGTGTATTCAATAAAAAAATGATCTCTTATGGCACCTTCACAAAACGTGTTCTGTTAAACCACCAAGTGACTGCATTTGTGCAATATCCTAAACGCAGTCTGTCGAGACCTAGCCAACTTTAGCTGATCTCCAAATAGACTCAGCAGATATCATATCTCTTTGGTCTTTGGGGACCATCAAGAAATTCCAAGGCTGTGGAGGAGATTGCAAAGTTGAAAAATGTTCTGGAAGAAGGTACTAGTTGAATTCTTACGTATTATTCGACTTTATTTATTTAGTGTATGGCATATCATACATGGACTAGCAATATATGTTAACATTTCACCTCAGTTAGTAAACACAATAAAATATAAAGGTTAACAAGATCTATGTTCAAATATCAATGTCTAGACTATCTAACCATTGAATTGCAGAATACTGGACCGGTATATGCTCTCACCTTATAGCCATTCACGATGTGATCTACAGTTTAATGTGGGACCTCACAATCACACCATGGGAAGGATGCTATGCTCCATTTATACAGAGAGTCCCGACAGATGCTGTGTGAGGTGCATTGTCTATTGCTGGTGTGGTAGTTCGACAATAGTTACAATAGTTACAATCTAGTTACTTCACTCAAAAGACCCTCTATCTTTCTCTGATTGGGTTTTAACCAAGGTTAGGGGGTTTTTTGGGACTGAATGCACTGTGCAAATCCAGTTCATTTTATTAACTAATAATTTTAGGGCACATTGGTTTGCAGAAAATGGGTTAATGGTAATGGTCTTAAAATAGCCTTTCAAATATGGAAGAACTAATCTCTTGGCAGTGATAAAAGCATGGAGAATCCATTTCTATTGTCCAGCTGACAATTTCCATATATTAACTAGGTAATTCAGAAGAATGTGCAAATCCAAAAGTGTTAAACTGTTTAGCTCCAGGTGACAATATAGAGAAGTCTGGGAAATTTTTTGGGCAGCATTTTCAAAAGTGATTTGGCATTGTCTTCTGGGATGAGAGGGAGGGACAAGCCCGAAGTCTTTCCACTGGCTTCTTGTCTAAGCTAGGATTAACAGAATAACAGAGTTGGAAGGGACCTTGGAGGTCTTCTAGTCCAACCCCCTGCTCAAGCAGAAAATCCTATGCCATTTCAGACAAATGGTTGTCCAGTCTCTTCCTGAAAACCTCCAGTGTAGGAGCACTACTCTAGAAAGAGTACAGAGAAGAGCAACAAAGATGATTAGGGGACTGGAGGCTAAAACATATAAGGAACAGTTGCTAGAATTGGGTATGTCTAGTTTAACGAAGAGAAGGACGAGGGGGGACAGGATAGCAGTCTTCCAATATCTCAGGGGCTGCCATAAAGAAGAGGGAATTAAGCTATTTTCCAAAGCACCTGAAGGCAGGACAAGAAGCAACGGTGGAAACTAATCAAGGAGAGAAGCAACCTAGAACTAAGGAGAAACTTCCTGACAGTGAGAACAATTAATCAGTGGAACAGCCTGCCTCCAGAAGCGGTGAATGCTCCAACACTGGAAGTTTTTAAGAAGAGACTGGATAGCCATTTGTTCGAAATGGTGTAGGGCAATGGTTCTCAACCTGTGGGTCGGCACCCCATTTGGGGTCGAATGACCATTTCACAGGGGTCGCCAAACAAGGCTGTCTGCCATTTTTTCCCCCTTTTCTTTGGCCACGCCCCTGGCACCCGGTGATGTATAAGTGGTTGGGGGTCACCACAACATGGGGAACTGTATTATGGGGTCGCGGCATTAGAAAAGTTGAGAACCACTGGTGTAGGGTTTCCTGCCTGAGCAGGGGGTTGGACTCGATGACCTCCAAGGTCCCTTCCAACTTTACTACTACTACTACTACTTCTTCTTCTTCTTCTTCTTCTTCTTCTTCTTCTTCTTCTTCTTCTTCTTCTTCTTCTTCTTCTTCTTCTTCTTCTTATTATTATTATTATTATTATTATTATTATTATTATTATTATTATTACTACTACTACTTCTGGAGGCAAATTGTTCCACTGATTAATTGTTCCCACTGTCAGCAAAGTTCTAGGATGGTTCTCTCCTTGATTAGTTTCCATCCATTGTTTCTTGTCCTGCCTT